CCCGTCTATCACCAACATAGGCCAATCAGCTAACCAGTATTTTCCCCTTTCCCCTTTCCAAAATTACTTAAACGGAAGGTTTCCAGATATGCGGAGCAAATCCATCTGGCGGAGTCAGGTTACATTTTTGGTGCCAAGTTGATAGAAAACTAACATGGTCAAACATGGAGGTGACAGTATTTGCTGGAGTTGATGGACAGATGATGCAGCCAAATACAGGGCAGTCATTTTACTGGCAGCACAACTGCCTTAGTTGTAATTTATCTTGATTGATGTGTGAGTCTGTTAAAGCATAGTAATACCTGCCCGTTTCATGTCAGAATTAATGTTTTCTCAAGTATTCCCGTCCAGCTATACAGTTATCATCTTCATTGTGTATGTGGCAGTGGCGCCATCAGGGGGTTGGCCAGGGGTGGCCATCGCCAGGGTATATTGTAGTTGCTTCAGTTTAGCATTTCACCCCGTTATGCACAACCAGCGTCGTAACATTAAAAAAATTCACACAATAAACAAATAAAATATGAAAAGGTGTTCACTTAAGTCTTTATGATTTTTACAGGCAGGTTTACCACAATAGTAGATTCAGACCCTGAAATTATTGCTTTAAGTTTGTGTGGCCCCATCTGGTCCCCCTTTGAAACAGGAGGCGCCACTGGTACAGCAAAGATTTGGGAATAGAATGAGAGCGATGTCCTTCATCTAAAAACATAGGGTAATATTTTGATAAGGCAGGAGCCATGGATGTCTCCTCATCTGCAAACATGTATGATGTAATGATGTGAATGATGCGATGATGTGGCAGACTGGAGTTGTTTAAAAATGTTCTTTAACTCTGAATCGAGGCTACTTCAAAGAGATGTGAGCCCGGATGCTAAGCGGCTGCATTCTGAAAAATAAAGCAACTTCTCTGGTCTGACTAACATTACAATTTATGTCTAAATATGTTGTCATATCTCATGCTTATTTACATTATGAAGCGTTATTTAAGGAGTTTGTTCCGAGTGATCTCTTCTCAGGAAAAGAACCGGAGAGAGAAAACCTCAAGGTATAAATACAGAGCTTTCCTTTTTTTTAAGTAAAAATAGATCAATATCTAAATGTATGGTGTTGCAGATAGGTAGTTACCCCCTTCAGCTGTTGCAAAATCAAATTCACAACATATATGTTACACATCTGATGTCTGTTAAAGGTTATATGATTGATTCTATCAATAGATTTCAAGATGACTTGTCTTATTTTAATTTTAGGATTAAGGGAAGAAAACATTTTGATCATTTCAAGACTAACCTGAACGTATCCGAGTATGAATACAGAAAATCCTATCCCAACATAATAGAAGGCAAACATGGTCATTTCGTGTTCGATGTCAAGAAGCCTGAAAATCAGCAAGCGAGGCGGTTAATAAAACATACAGAAAAAAATTTTTATGCATATCTGGATCTTTTTTAGTAACATCTTCATGGTAGATTTACAGCATCAAACATCTTTTCTCCTCCATATTTAAAGCCCACTTACCCACACGACATGTTTCCCAGTGGAGTGAACATCTCTAATGTGGAGTTGATAAGACCCAGGTCCGACAGGTTCAGAGGCAGACTCAGGTCTGCTGCTGCGCTGTAGTTCCTCTTCCACTGGATGGTGTTGTTCACGCACTCCTTCCTGTCGTCGTTCAGCTCGGTGAGCTCGATGTCGTACTCGATGAAGGTGTCGGTGAGCAGGCCGAACACCAGCAACATGAGGGGCTGGGCCGAGCCATGCAGCACTGCACACAGGCTGCCCACCACCATCATCACAACATCTTTGCAGGTGGAAAAGCGGAACTGGGAGGTAATAATTAAGAAGAGGTCTAGTATTAGGAGAAGAAACCTCACAGATTAAAGAAACAAAAAAAGTGGATTTTTACCAGCTGGAAGAAGCTGACTCTAATAGCAGGTTGGTCTTGGTTTCCTTGAGCTCTGTGTGAAAAGAGGAGGTCAACCATTTTACATGTTAGTTGAATGCAGTTAGATATCCATAACATCTCCATTTGGTACTCACTTCTCCGTGTTCTTAGAATTTGTCATGGACCTGAAAGGAACAAAGCAGAACAGTGAGTCGTTGCCTCCATGAAACCCTTGTGAAACTATGGCACAGTGAAGACTTAATATAAAATCCCTTCTGTTCTCATTATGCAAACAGTTAACAACAAGATGTTCTTTTAAAATGTTAGCTGGGAATCACACAGCAGTGTTACACAAACCACAATATTTTCCCACGTCTTTGCCACAAGCAGAGGTGCCAACTTTTATGTACTACGCATGCATTAAAGCAAGTGAGAGGTTTCAGTTTCCAAATACAATGAGTAAAGATAATCTGCATGTCCGGCTGTGTAGATTAAAGCAATAACAAGCTGAAAATCTATCAGATATAATTTACTACAAGCTATAAATACAAATCAAGCCAATTGGCTCAATGCTTTTATGCATCTAGTCTACTAGTGTTGGAATTGGATGGAAAAGGGATTTGAGTGAATCTGACAGTTGCATGTCTGTTGTGGCCAGATGGTGTGCTATTTGCACAACACATTTAGATCAGCAGATGGGCAGCGGCAGCAGAGAACCACGCTACATGCCACTCATGTCAGCTCAGGGCAGGAATCCGAATCACTGCAGTGTCTCTTTAAATGTCAGTTTGCAAAAATCTCAGCATATTGCGGTCTACATGCCTTTCTATGTCATGTATGTGTTTTGACCTGATCTTTGTTGCAGCTCTTGCGCCGTTGAGGGTTGTTGTCCCGTTTTTTTCTACAAGAGCTTGGATTTTTCTGTATTTGGCGCTGTTAAAATTTCCTTCTCAAAACAGTTTTCCTGCCTTCTCTGGAAAAAAAAGCATCCCCATAACATAATGCTGCCACTACCCTGCTTCAAAGTGAGGAAGGTATGTTCAAGGTGTCATATATCCCTTCCCCAAAGCTACCATCAACTAGTAAAGTAAGTTGTGTTATTAATTATAGTATCTATAATACAATGCCTCATCAGGCAGGTGAGCAATTTTGAAAATATTTCCTGACAATTAAGTGACACCCTCCTGACTTGGTAATATTGATCAAAATGACTAAATGTGTTAATAATTTCCCATGGCACTTATTAATAGTTAGCCACACTAAACCAAAGCAATCGTTGCTCAATAATGTACTAATTGGACTTTAGATATTAAGGTGGTGTTTTAATGGCTAAAACAAAAACATTTTTTATCTCTTTTTAATTTTCATTGTATAGATAATAATGCACCAGTATTTATGATGCAATACTTACATGTAAGAGCCAGCTGGTTCTGAAACAAAAACACAGGAAATGTGCTGTAATCAAAGGTTCAAACTGCTAACTGTAATATAGACATCATTCCCCCGCTGATTATCATTAGGTCAGCGTTTTTTATTGTTAGATTATATATAAAATAGAGCATTACCTTCGCCGGAAACCTCATAGCTGTGGTTATCCTGTCCGAGTTTCTTGATGCTTTGTAGTCTTACGGATCCCGCTGGCATGGCGGCACTATCAGTTTGGGTTGACTCCAAATGTAAGGGATTGTCAGGGATGTTCAGATCTGGAGGCTTTCCTATCCACGATTAGAAATGGATCATTTGTCCAGGTCAGTAGAAGCTCCACTGTCCGGTTGGTTGATGCACAGCTTCTGGAAGGTGGTTGCAGTTGTGACAGAGTGTCAGGTGGGTACAGGTAGACACTCTTTGCACGTTGGCAGCAGAGTCACGTGGTGTTATTTGGGCTTGGTTGGAACTTGGGGTCAGATTGCTTTGTTTGAAGGTAAGTGTCCTATCGGTTCCTCTACTGGGAAGGCCAGTGACCTCGCACAGCAAACATTCCCCCTGCAGAAGCCCTTCACTCTTTCTGTGTATTTGCTAAATGTGGGCATGTGGGTTCATAAAAATCATAGCTTTAAATGATCATTATCTACTTCCTTATGAGAAATAGAGTCTGGTAACGAACTGAATAGCATAACGAGCTTTAATATTTCAACTGACATGTGCATAACAACGCTGACTGAATAATGAACGTCAATACTGTTAGAACCTGCTTAGGCCCAGAGGTCATTAAAGGTAAAAGTATCAGCAAATCCACGTAGCAGTTCAAGAGCAATTCTTCAAAGAGAAGGTTTAAAAGTCTCCAAGATCAATAACAACTCTGGTTCTTCTAGTACCAGAATTGTTGAAATTGGACAGAAATAAATGTCACTGATAATAAATAGGAGTGCTGATTGTAGTGAGGATAATAACAGTTTTTTCTGGATGGTATTCAAAGCCATAATTATCTATTGATTTGATATATTTTACCTCAATTATATGTTTTAACTTGCTGTAAGCCTAAATAATCTAAATTAGCTCACATAAACATCTGTTATTTCATATCATCAGGGCCTAGTTTTATACTTTGGACTGAAATACTACTATTTTTTCCTACTTTTCTGTTAAGTTGTGTTTCAAATTGAGCTTTACTTCGATTTGAAAAAAAAAACACATTAAAAATAAAGTGTTTGAGACAAGAAGAAGAAGATTCTGTAAACGCCGTAGTCGTATTCGGCGATTCATCTTAGCACCGCTGGAGTTTTATGGTATGAGTAGCCATTGCTTATAAGATAATGCAGTAAATTTAACTAACAGCTCACAGATAGTATCAGCAAGAAGTAGCTAAATTTAGTTGGTGGGTGTAAAGAAAATGAATATTCCAGTTTGTTTATGATATCTGGCTGTTTATTTAAACTGGCACATTATTTATTTATATTTTTTTATTACAATAGAACAATGTCACCTAATGACTGTCTGGCTAAGAATGTTAAAAATATGGTTGCACGAGTTTATGAGTTAAAACAAGCAGTTTCCCTCTTTAATTCTGCTCCTTGTTGGTACAAAGCGTTAACAGAGCCGCCATCTTTGTATTTTCCCTTCCTAGAGATGTTATTTTTGTACACTGTCTTGATCCTTCCTTCGCATTTTAAGCTATCTTGGATGAATGTTTGACTGTTTATCTGTTTTTCTTTTATGGAAGAAAACAGAGAGGGACCCGTTTACCCACCTTCACCTGTTCTGAAGGTTAGGGCAGTGCAATTGGCTCTTAGACTTTCTCAAAGACAGAGTCCTCAGTCAGTCCGGGTTGGACAGAACACCTTTGATGTCATCAGTCTAAGCACAGGCTCCCCTCAGGGCTGCGTCCTGAGCCCCCTGCTGTTCACCCTGATGACACGTCTGCGTCCCCAGGTTCACCACAAATCACATCGTGAAGTTTGCAGACGACACCACTGTGTTGGGCCTCATCAGAGACGACAGCGACGTGGACTACAGAAAGGAGGTGGAGCAGCTGGTGGACTGGTGCAGAGATAACAGCCTGATCCTGAATGTGGAGAAGATGAAGGAGATCATTGTTGACTTCAGGGAGAACCATCCTAAAAAATCACTGATCAAAATGACACAGAAGCGCATGTACTTCTTGCGGAGGATGAGAAGAGCCCACCTGCCCCCACCCATCTTCACCACCTTCTACAGAAGCACCATAGAGAGCGTTCAGACCAGCTGTCTCACTGTGTGGCGTGGAGGCTGCAGCGCCTCAGACTGGAAGAAGGTGAAGAGAGTAGTAAGAACAGCAGAGAGGATCATCGGGGCTCCTCTTCGCTCCATAAAAGACATTTCATCCCAGCACTGCGTGTCCAGAGCCCATAACATCATAAATGACCCTTCACACCCCCACCATGGACTGTTCCCCCTGCTGCCCTCTAGGAAAAGGCTTCACAGCATTCAATGCAGGTCCAGCAGATTCCAGAACAGGTTCTTCCCCACCGCCATTAGACTGCTGAATGTTGAAACGACTCTAAATCATGTCACAGACATCAAACTGACCATATCAATGCATTTTTTTTCTCCCACAAAGTTTCCATTTTATCACTGCTGCACTTTAAGAAATGGAAGAGTCATGAGAGCTGCACAAAACGAAATTTCATTTTGTATGTACAAAATGAAAATAAAAATTGTCTAAGTCTAAGTAATTTTACCATCTGGATCGCTGACATAAACAAATGATCCATCCAAAGGCTCTTAAAATTGTGTGAGCTGGAAAAGGCATAAAAGTCTGACTAATTAACTTTATGAAGATTATTCATGCTTTTTTTGGGATTGTGTTTCCCCCTAAAACAAGATGGCGGCCACATTTCCCTACTTGAGTTAATATAACGGGTTTTAGCTAATAGGTATGATAAAATTAGTAGGAAGCTTTTCCCGTTAAAGTTTTTAACCTGTCTATGATTGTAAAAGGTTGGTCGTTAAAGGGGGGATTATAGTAGGAGTCTTGTTTCCTCTATTTTTAAACTTCAATTAATGGTCCTAATTGATCAATAATGTCACGAGCAGACTTTTTAACCAACAAAAAATTTATTTTTTTCTTGGAGACCGACATTTCACAGCATGAGAGCTATCCAGCCCCTGCATCTCACATCAATAGGACTATTGTAGGAGGAGAGAGGAACAATCCTGACTATCTATAGTCCGAGAAAGAGAGAAGTGACTCTAGTTTTCAGCCTGGTGCCTCATCAGATTGAGATGGGGAACCAGTGATGAGGATGAAGAAAACACTATTTCTGAAGGGCCAGTCAGAGCATGATAGCAGAAGCAGCGAAGGTTTCACTGATAGCTTTGGTAAAAAGAAGAGGAGGAGGTTGCAGGGTAAAAAGAAAAAAAGCAAAAAAGCTGTGCACGTCATTATAGAAGAGAAGATAACAATGCAACCCTCAGAGTATATATGTGTTGCTATTTTCCTTCTCAGCAGTTGGGGAAAATTGAATTTGAACTTCATCCAACTGCTTCACTATTGAACCTGATGAGCTAATGAATCCACTTCCCCTTAACCCCCTAGAACCCTACGGACCCACCGGTGGGTCC